ATAGCCCTGAAAGATAATTTTGTCTCTTGAGCTTTTTCTAGAGCGCAGAACCCCAACAAAAAAGCAACTTGGAGCCAATAATGCACTCGATGTATGCTTACGATTTTCCAAATTTCAATTTCCTGGTCGTAAGTTATGGAGATGACACTGCTCTTATTCAAAAGTCAAGAAAGACGAATCAAGCGCTCGTCCATACTTTCGGACTCCTTCGGACACATAATGCCGCAGAAGAGAATTTTCACAGCTATTATTCGTTCCATATTCACTATGTCACTCATGTATGGTCGAATGCTACTTAATCTGATATTAACAAGCTTCAAATTATTCAAAATAAATTTCTCAGGATTATTTCTGGTGGTCCAAAAACAAGAATCCGTAGCAAGAACTTTCATAGAGAGCTCCAAATAGGATACGTACGAACCTACTTCAATAGACTCAATAACAATTTTTATAAAAAAGCTGTAACTTCGTTATAAGATGTTTTTGAGTAAAAATAAGTTTAGTTTAAAAATTTCTAAATAATTTACTTGATCCTGAAAATCTTTATGAAATATTTCTGTTTTTAGAAAATCCGAAGAATGTCAGTCTGCTTGCAAACAGAAGTTTGGAATAATTTTTAAAGAATTAAAGAAAATTTTTTTTTGTTTTTAAATTTTATTTTTAAAATAATAATTTAAACTTGATATTGTCCAGCTTTTTATGCTGACAATATTTCCTATAAAATTTAAAGTTTCTGGAAATTTTATTGGAGTTAATCCAAAATTAAATGTTTTCTGCTAAACTCCGTATCAGCTGCTCTAGATCTGTTTACGTTAAGTAGCCAAGATTTGCAAGAGCAGTAATTTAGTGATCTTGGAAAACATATTGGAATGTTTTTCTGCAGTTACATTCTTTATTTATTATATGTAATTCAAAAATTACATTAAGAATAATGAAAGCCTTTTATATTTCATTATAAATTATGTGCGTTTTGACGCTTTTATATTTAAGTCCTATTTTAAATATCGTGAATGGATTTCCTATTTTATTAATAATTTGAAAAAATGGTGCGCCATTCAGATACAGCAGTTACTTGGTGTGCCATTTAAAAAGTTTTTCCTGTTATTTATTTATGTGAATATTAACCAGGTAGATTTTTTTTTTTTTTCTTATTTCGTAATACACCGATTTTGTTCTTAATTTTTTTATTCTGTATTTTATTAGCATCCTGTATTTCTTATACATGCTACAAATAATAAGAATATCTTTTCCTTATTTTTTCAATGAATTTTGAAAATAACATTAACTTCTATATGAAAGAATATTATTTGCTTCGTGATTTAAAATTAATTTTATTGAGCATTATTTTCAAGTTCAATATAATATAAGTGAAGCGGTTAGTTTAAATACTGCATTTGTTAATAGAATCTTTATTTTACTCTTCAAGAATATGGATACTTCTGAATTATGGCATGTAATGCCGGATCCCGTACTCTTGTATATATTTTCATATTTAAGTGCCAAAGATTTATTGAATGTTCGTAGAACTTGCAAGAACTGGTTGAGGTTAGCAAGCGATCAGTTCCTGTGGAAGAGGTTGTTTCATGTGGATTTTAAAATAGACAGAAGCATTCCGATTGCTCCCGGTAAAAATTCGTGGCTTAGTGAATATAAAAGACTCAAGTATCATACTCCTATGCAGCAAACAGAAGTATTAGTTGAACATACACATCAGGTTCTTCATGTTAGTTTTTCACATAATGGCGAAATGTTTGCCAGCAGTTCTAAAGATGGGTACATTAAGGTGAGACTAACTTTATATTTTGATGTATTACATATTATTGTTGCATTTATATTTGTAGGTCTAAGATATTTCAAATTATTCTTGATTAATTACTTAAATTGTGATAATGCATTTTAATTATTATTATTTATAAATTACACTAAAAATTAAGTATGAATGTATATTAATTGCCATGTCTTGTTTTATTATATTTCAGGCTTTTTTTTTTTTTTTTTTTTTTTCAAAACGTAGGCCCTCCTATTTTTAATCTAAGATTGCTTAGAAATATATGCTTGACACATTCAAATCAGCTGTATGACGCTGTCCGTAAAATATGTCTTTCAAATTTTGAAGGACCAACAATTTCTTTGCATATTTCCAGTATCAAATTAATAGAGTATTATAAAGATATTGTACTTCTTTCAAACATTAAAATATTCCTAGTTAATTGCATGCAGAATTGTGTAAATTGTCTACAAATTGCATTCCGCCTTTTTTTTTTTTTTTTTCTTTATTTTCTAATATTTGATCGTAAAAAAAAGACTTCCCCTTTTCATTTTGATTCTATTCCTAGGTGTGTCCATTTGTCATGCTTAACATAAGTAAACTTATTTTATATTTTGTTCTTTGCTTGTTAATATAAATTGATTCGATAATTATGATTTTTTGTTATTATAGCATTCATAATTAAAAGACAACAGTGAGTTTAATCTTAATATCTCCTCTTAAGTCTGAGTTAAAAGCCGAAAAAAAAAACGCAATGATTACAAATAAATGTAAAAATGGTACTTATAAGTTTGTAGTGCTCATTGTTTTTATCTAACAAAAACAAAAAACCACAGAACTTTTTGATTATCCACTACTAGCATTGCTTATGCTTCTAGAAAACTGTTTTGTTTGTATTTAGACGCACTGAATGCAGATCGTGTCAGCATAAAATCTAGTGTCGCCTTGTTTTGAACTTTATAGATTTCAAACTACTTTTAAAAAGTAGTATTCTATTTATCATATTTATCGGTTTTACCAGACTAAATCATTATGACTTACCAATAACTAAAAATGTTAATTTTGGTGTCTTGTGTGTTTTTTTAATTTTACTTTATTTATTTATTTATTTTAAGGTATGGAAGCAACTCCTGCAAGTTGCCACAGTACAGATATGAAATCTTTTAGTTGGAATTATACTCAGTTTTCTCAGTTCATGAATCAGAACACTTCTCCTTTTTGTGTCATTTTGGAGCTACCTGCTTCTGGTGAAATAGCGTATTATCTCAGGTTTGTACTTTTTTATTCTCTGGCTAATGACCATTTTATTATTTTTTCAGATAATATCCATTTTTATTTTAGAATTAAGTTCTTTTCTCTAATATATGCCTTCTATAGATCCACAGAAGTGAAACAAAAAAATGTGTTTATATTATAGTATTGACTTTAAAGTATTTTATTGAGATCATTTCTTTTATTATGTTCGGAACGTTTTTAAAAGCTTTAGGATAACTATTGCTCGGCTAGAAATAGATAAATGCATAATGTATTAGTATGCTTCTGCGGGTTCTGTTTTCGAATAGCCCCACCTTTTTTATCCATTGCATTACGTCCCCGTCGTTCCTCCGGACTCGCCGGACTTCGCGCTTCCTATTATCGATTTTCCGGCTTCTAGATCTGGATTCCCTCTGGTAGATGCACTGCGCACTCTCCCTTCACAATATGAACCCGTAATTTTGCATAAATAGCCTTTGTCTCCAGGTCTCCAATTCCCAAAAAGCCCAGTTTGTTTACTTTATCACATTCTTCAATGGCAGCAAAGCATACATTCGCATCGTCGCATGTCTACAAAACCTATTGAGTGTATCCGTGCTATTTATAATGACCATCTTTGATTTAAATCATATCAAAGGGAATACTCGCGTAAATACTAATTTAGTTGGAATATACGCCAATAGAAAAAAATCCCTGAAGATAGGATATTCTGACAGTAACTTCATTCTGCGGTCGTTTCCCTCCCCCGTAGATCAGCGTGAAATTGATAACATATTTTCAGAAGATTAGATTCAAAGGATATGCCTTTATATCCATTTTTTTGCAGCAATTCCACTTCTGTTTAATGGACTAAACATATTTTCGCTTGTTTACATATTAGTAATATATTTCGAAATTCTATTTGACATAAGGGAAGTTCAAGCTTACTTTTATAAAATTGCTCTAACAGTCTGCAAAAAATAATAAGCCGGATCCAATTCGAAGATTAAGGAACAACGCTATCTGCAAATTAACTGAAATAGATAATTAGATAATTTTAGCTTATATCGTCCGTTATACATTAAACACGCATGCGTAAACACATTATGTGAATGCGCACATGAATATTCGCAGCCGTAAAGGTCTTACGTGCACGCGTAAATGCCTATGCACATGCATGAATGCAATGCATGCGCAGAAAGTTTTTAGCTTTGAGGTCCGGATTATAGATCATTCCGGATTATGGGTGTCCGAATTAACGACTTTTGACTGTATTATACATATATTATTAGGCCTAATTTCAGAATTTTTGGGGTCTTGTGTGTAATAAGTAAAATTAGCATCCCATATAAATTTAACATATTACAGTAAAAGCCCAATTATCTATCATTGAACTAACTAGAAGGCTCAAGTAAGCAGATTATTGCAAAACTTTAGAGAGTTGTACTCTTTTTTTTTTTTTTTTAAATTATTTTTTGAAGGAAAAATGAAGGAAATGAAAGACTTATAAAACCATCAGAAAGCACATGAAAAACCTGGAACTGCTTTCCTCATAAAAAAATAAATAAAATAAAAAACTGTGACCTAAATGCCAGTAATAGATAAATGTAATGCCACAGTTCAGTTGTAAGATCGATAATTATGTATTATCCCATCGACTGTGAAAGTTGGCTAAAATCAAGCCATGAAAGTTGGCAGAAATCCAAAGTTGCATCAGTCATTCTTGCAATTCTGAGCTGCACTTCTATCTGCAGCTCATCAATTAAACATTTATTAATATCTCTGCAGAGTCTACCAAATAGCTACTGACGCAGATCTCATTTCTGCAGTCTGGTTCATTTTTGCACTTCGTACAAAGGCTTCCATCAGTTTCTGCTATTTAGTTATACCTTCTGCAGTAGTCAATTTTGTTTGGTTGAGTATTCCTTTCAACAAAGAAGGAGGCACTTTTAAAACTTGTCTCAATTATTAATTGTTTCTAGTGTCTCTTGTACTATGCAGCTGTGGCGTATATTTGTAAGTGCATACCTGCGGCTATCATGCTCTTACTTCTCTACTGTCCAATCCCTAATTAAATCATTCCTTATGGTAATCATTTGTCAGAAGGAGCTGCGTACATTTTCTGTTGAACATAATAGAGGAATATCAGACACAATACCTCCCAACCTAAGATTGTGATTAGGGTGTAAACACAAGATTACATATTTGATAAGTCTGATACACTGGAATAATTCTACCTTAATTACCATACAGATTTCACCTTAATTATTACAGAACACAAATTTTCATCTTAATTTTAACAGTAATTAATGTTTTAGTCATATAAAAACACATAAGAAAATTTTTTTTAACTCACAGAAATTATAGCATATATATATATATATATATATATATATATATATATGTACAGTGCCAAATTGTGGACACTTTGGAAATTTTTATGTTTTTGAACTTTGAATGCTTATAGAAAATATTACGTTTCACAAAATGCAAACTTGTATATATCATTTAAAGAGAATTTATTACTGAATTCAATACAAAACACAAAATTTAATTATTTGCAATACAAAAAGTATGTACTTTAATATAATAAAAATACAGTTTCTGAAGTGGTTTGTAATGTCTAGCTTTCCTGCCATCATTTGTTCTTGTTCTGAGAACCAATCAAATGTTAGTAATGCCATAGAAGCTGACATCATGTTTACACTTGAAACATTCATTATTTTCTTTGTTCTGTACAAGGAGGACCTGTTTCTTATACACTGCAATTACAAGGAATTTTTGTAAAAATTTTTAATTTTAGTCAAGAAGCGATGACATCAAATAAAAGAGTAGATTGGACACCTAGAAAGAGATGTAATATTATTTGTGTAAGATAAAGTGGTCTTTCCTAGCTGAAATTGCAAGACAGGTGGGTGGTTCAGTGACTACATCTGGAGTCCGAAAGTTTTGTTTACAATATCAGGAGACAAATTCAATAAACACAAGAGAAGGAAAAGGCGAAAAAGGTGCACCACATCTATTGCTGACAGAAATAAAAGGACTATGTCTCCAAATAGAAAAATGTCATCAGCGGCCATCAGAACTGATCTGAATGATGGTGTTTTCTGTCCGTTCAAACAATCAGGAGAAGCTTAACAGATGTTGGACTGAGAGGTAGAATTCCACGAAAAAGCCGTATCTAATTTTCAGCAATTAAAAAAGACTACAGTTGGCAAAGGAACACATTAATTAGACAGATGATCACAGTTATATGGAGTCACAATAATACACAATGATCACAGTTATATGAGTGATGAACAATCGTTATTTGGTAGTGATGGGCGAAAATATGTAAGATGTAGAATAGGAGAAGAGTACATGCGACTGCATTCAAGCAACTGTGAAGAACCCTTAGTGTTATCTTGGTCATGCATGTCGCAGATGGTTGGTCACCTTTATGTCATCGATGGGACACTGAATGCCAAAATACATGACATTATTCTAGAACCAAAATTCTACCTTCCATCAGAGATCTCTTTCCTGCTTCGTTTATTTTTCAGCAGGATTGCTCCTTGCCACATGGCCAAAATATCGAAAAGTGGTTTTCATACAAAGAGCATTAAATTGTTGTCATGGCCAGGAAACAGTCCTGACCTCAATCCTATCAAAAATTTTGGCACCGTTTGAAACTCTTGTCCGAATGAGGCACCCCATGAATAAAAGGGAACTAATTGAGGCTAAAATTGTTTCCTGGAATCATGTAAAACGAAAGAAGAGCTTAAAACTCTGTCAGCTCAATGAACGTCGATGTGAAGCTGTAAAAAAAATAAAGGGTACCCTACTAAGTACTGATCGAGAACTATTATCATTTAACTTTTTTGTATTGCAAATAATTGAATTTTGTGTTTTGTATTGAATTCAGTAATAAATTCTCTTTAAAATGATATATACAGGTTTGCATTTTGTGAAATGTAACATTTTCTATAAGCATACAAAGTTCAAAAACGGAAAAATTTCCAAAAGTGTCCACAATTTTGGCCACCACTGTATATATACCATTCTAACACATATCAGCATATAATACCTAAAGTATTAAAAACAACTAAAACATTTAGTACTTAGCACAGTAAGTATCGACCTTGTCTCCATTAGTTTGTATAACCTGTCAAAAAAGTAGGAATGTGAAATCAATATAATAATTATAATGAAAAGTATATCATTATGCCATGGTGTTAAGTGTTTACTTATTGTCCTTAGTTCAATATAAAGTCAAAGAGTGACATAAAACTACAAAGAATTCCACAATGATGGCACATGTAATCATTGGGCGGTTAATCTTTGGATTATGGTAACTTGGCGATTTTTTGGCGAAAATTTGGCGACCAACCCTGCTACAGCAAACTGCTAGTTTCTGGACACCATTTTGTTTTCACGAAGTAAAGGCATTTTTTTTTTTTTTAACTCAAAATTTTTTTCCAACAATCTGCTAGCCGAATTATGCTTATGCTAGAACTTTTATGGAACAAAAGTGCTTAATCATGACGAAGATTAGGTGCGAAATTGGGAGAAAGTGCAGAATCACAAACTGCTTGCCGCGTTTTTAAGAATTCCACGTACATGGTATCCATGTACACGTCGACCTATTTTCACTTAAAAAACATCCCAGAATTGCACAAAAATGGCATTGCGCACACACTCTTGACTTTATCCATGTACACACAAGTCCTAGCTAGTAACCTTTATTGCCGTACCAAAATGTCGCCAAACTACCTGTTACCATATTCCAAAGATTGCCCCATTTGGCTAGTAATTTAAAAGTACTGCTATGTCATCAATGTAGCCACAAGCAGACTCTCTATAGTTTGCCAAAGTTCATTGTACATTGAAAAATCGCAGCAGCATTCTTTAGTCCACATGGCATAGCACTGAAACAATGTTGAGAGAGATGCGTTGGGGAAGAAGTGAGCTCCTTTCTCTGCTCTTCCAATGGCAATTCTGGTTTGAGTACTGGAGTTATGCATCACTTATTCATTTTTTGGTATTCCTCAGCTGACACTTCTTGTGAGATTTATAGTATTTTGTAATATCTTTAACTATGAATTTCCGATAAAAGTTATACCGAATCCATTCTTTGGTTTTTAAATTCATAAGTACACACTGAAAGCGGATTCATGTGCTAGGTGAAAAACTCTCTAGCATCTCCTCTGTGGTAATACAAACTGATATACCCTTTTCTCCTGAAACTTCATGATATATCAAACCACAAATAAAAAGAAAATTTCCTTTCTCCTTCCTTAAATTTGATCTGACAGTTTTTAAATCATTGCATAATCTCTGTTCTTTTAATTTTTCCATTTCCGATTTTCCTGCCTGTGACATTGATTAATTAATTTTCTATCTATTTAACACTCTGTCGGGTGCATTTGATCTGCTAGGCACACCTGGAGCACTTTTGTTTGCATTGCCTCCTTCAAACGTCGTCACTCCTTCTCCATCCAGTTGGCTTCCTATCTTCTAGTGCCACTGGCAGTTGTAAGGTCAGTCAGTGAATAGGTTTCTTTATTTCTACTTGGCTGATGAAATGATCTAATAGGCTCATCATGCCCGATTATGTTGCAATTTGACAAGTAAGTTTTCTGTGATTTTTTAATATTGTATCACACTTTTTGGTTAGCAATTTCATATAATAAAATGTTTTATTATTATCTACAAAACTGAGTATGTTTTGGGGCTGTGGCTTTTCAAGTACATGGTGCCTGATTATGTCATTAATTGTAAATAATTTTAAATATTGTATATTACAAAATTTGGCAAAGACATTTTCATAACAACATTATAAATATTTGTTTGATTCAGTCATCAAAAAGTATAAAATTTTTTTAAAAAAAGTTTGATTTGAGAAACCCTCAAGACCTTGAAGAAATTCACTGTTTATTGGAGGCATGAGATGACGAAGATGAGGATGTCAGAGATGAAGATTTTGATGTTGAAAGCTGCATTGATTGAAAAAAAATACTGACTTTTATTTGGAACAAAGCCAGACCACAAACACTCCAGTAAGTTTGGCTTCAGTAGTGATGGTAATATTTTGATGTCCTACGTTCCAAGAAAAAACAAAAATATCCTTCTTGTTTCATCACTGCATAATGACCAAGCTATTGATGCTCTTTCTACTGTGAAAAACAGAAACCAGAAGTAATCAGTTTTTACAATGAAACCAAATTAGGAGTAGATATTGTAGATAAAATGTGTGGTTCGTATAATGTATCTTGGAATGTAAAATGGTGGCCCATGATAATCTTTTTCACAATGTTAAACACTTCAATCAATTCTCAGATCATACATGTAGGTAATGAATATACAGCTCTTAAATGAAGCTTGTTCATAAAACAACTGTCTAATGAACTTGTGTTTTGACAACTTGCTCAACGAAGTCTGAAGTACACTGACTACCAATAAGTATTTGGACACCTGTGATAGAAAAGAAAAACTAACTTTATTCAAAATCAATAGTTGGTAGAGCCTCTACGAGAGGTAATTACAGCGTGGACCCTCCGGGGCATACTTTCCACAAGTCTTTATATGACAACTAGTGGTATTTTCTTCCACTCGGCTTGGAGAAGACATAGAAGTTCCTTCACCGATTTTGCACGGGTAGTGCACCCCTGAATTCGGCGATGCAACTCGTCTCAGAGGTTCTCGATAGGGTTCAGGTCTGGACTCTGGGCAGGCCAGCTCATTCGATGAACTCCATTGGCACCATACCAAGCCTTGGTTAACATCGAAACATGACAACTGGCATCGTAGTCCTGAAAGTAACAGGGGTCCAACACGTAAAACTGTCACAACGTAGGAAGCACATTGTCATCCAAAATAGTGCAGTAGGCATCGGAGTTGAGGTTACCATCAATGGGGACCAAGGGTCCCAGCCCATACCAGGAGAAAACACCCCCAGACCACAATTCCACCTCCGCCGAACTTGACTGTTGGCACAATGCATTCTGGCAGGAGACATTCTCCAGGTAGACGTCAGACCCAGACCCTGCCATCCAAACGGTAAAGGGTGAACCTTGATTCATCACTCCAAAGAATCCGTTTCCACTAATCTACGGTCCAATTTTGATGTGCTTTGCACCACATTAACAGAGCAGCAAGGTTGGACTTTGTGATCAAAGGCTTATGGGCAGCAGCACTAACCATGAAAACCAAGCAGATGTGCTTCCTTACGGATGGTATTCATTGAAACAATACTCCCGGATGCCTGTTGAAACTCCTTGCGGATGAGGGCCATTGGTTGGGTGCGGTTCTTCCGAATTTCTCTCGACAGCACTCGTCGGTCTCTATCTCCCAATTTCGTTGGTCTGCCGACTCGGGGCACATTCCGACAATCACGGCTCACCTTCCACTTCTTAATCACATAGGCCACTGTCGATTTTGGGTACTTCAGATGGCTAGATATGTCCCTTAAGGATCGGCCACATTTGTGATACCAGATAATTATACCTTTCTCGAAATCAGAGAGGTCCGAACTGCGAGGCATCTTGCACGCAACTAAAGCCGATGCTGTTTCCTACACGATATGTACCGGCGGAGTCCGTGGCGTAACTTAGGACCGCAGATATCATCATTTGCATAGGTGTCCAAATACTTATTGGTAGTCAGTGTATATTCCAAGATTAGCCAAACAAATTAACAATGGAATGTGAAAATTATGTGAAGCATTTAAATTTTTTACATGCTATATCTGTAACTTGTATCTCTTGATTATCTAACTAAATAAAAAGCAATCTGTTCTTTCATACTGCAGCTAGGATGATTAGCATAAGTTTGTTAGGATATCGCCAACTTTCGTATTTGATGGGCTTTCATAATCAAATGAAAATCTGTCAACCTAAGTTGTTTTACTTTCATGTGTTTAAGAGCTATGAAAATACATTGGCTTTTGTGTTTCAAAAAGAATTTTTTTTTAAAGCGTTTGTATAATGCTAAATGTAACCTTTAGATATTCAAGCTGATAATAAATGACTATTTTTTTAGATCAGAATTTTTTTTTTTTCCATTCATTTTTGGCTTTTCTACCATGAATTAAATTTTTTTTTTTACGCATTTAACTATTTGGAAATTTATTGTGTGTGACATTTGGCATTTCCCAAGCTTATCAGTTTGTCAAGCTGTTACTGTAATATTTCAAAGCAAAATATACTTTTCCTTAGTGTATCATTTGTGACAATAACTTAGTTAGTGCTTTAGGTGGCTGCCAAAATTTCCTGTGCTTGATACAAATATATTATGGCTAAAATTATAAAACTTAAGCTTTTAAATGTAACACTGATTCTCATAAATATCCTTTTTCCCACAGGAAATTTTACTCTTCAGTGTCGAGTGCTTAACAAGCCTTATGACATATTTGGTACGTGGTACACTGATGATTATTTGTTATCTGGTAGACTACATTTTTTGGGGCATTTGGTTTCATGTTCAGCTTTATGGTTAAATAAGGCATGGCAAGAATCTGAATCTGAAAAAAAACCTATTATTAAGCGTCTGTTTAAATTTTACAATCGGAAAGCCAGCTCTATACGTACAATCACAGTAGCAAATTGCTTCACCTCAGATTCTAAAATTGATGTTTTAAAAGATCCTCAGGCATCTCACTCCTCTTCAGAAGTTGTAGTCCATGGAAATCCTGTATCTCGTGATGCTTTGAATGTTGCACCATGGCCATCAGGAAGAAGTCGCACTTTAGAACTAGCATCTGGTTCATTTCCTCAGGATATTAAGGTATATGATTTTATTTTAATAAATTTTTGTATTAAACTTGGCACATGTAAACAGTAAAGAAATCTATGTTTTAAAAACAAGTAAAAATTCTTGTTAAGTACTATTGAATCCTTATTTAACAGACATTTCACCTTAGTAGGTACTTGCCATTAAAAAATAATTCATGAATCCATGGATTCTCAAAGTGGAAAACCAACTTGCTCCTATATTACAGACTTTTTCAGATAATGTTCAAAAGTCTGTTGTTTTATGTTAATGCTTATGTATTAGTTATACAGTCAAAAGTCTTTAATCCGGACTCTTTGGGATTTCGGCGATTCTGGATTATCGGTTTTTTCTGGATTATAGATCATCAATTTAAATCTGGTAAGATGACATACAGAAATTATAAAATTAAAAATATGAAACCATAATTTATGAAATAAAGAGCAATTATGATCTAAAGGGTATCAAAATTTACAAAAAGTTTAATATTTATTTGTTTACTTTATTAAACATTTCTTTCAACGCGCGCATGTGTAAAGCGTACATTAATTACGCATAGTCGAAATTAGAAAACTGCAACCAGAAAACTATGCGATGTGTATTCGCAATATTTATAATGACGAGGAATTTGATTGAAATGATATCAAAGACGGAGTACATCGAGATGAAATACTACATTTAGTAAGGAATTATAAGTCTGAATAAAATAAAAACATCTGCCCTGAAGAATGAAGGATAGTGCTGACAGATCAACTTCCAGTTCATTGGGCACTCCGCATACCCCCTTCCCATCCCAGAGCAGGGTGAAATTGATAAACAGATTTCGGAATGTTTAGAGAAACAAACCTCTCCGTCACTTTCTTATGCCCTTGTCCATTTTTTGCAGCAATTCCACTTTTTGTTTGATGGACATCGAAACATGCTTTCGTTTTGTAGATCCTTTGGCAGCTCCAGCATCAGAAATACTTTTGGACATAATCGAAAGTTACTTTTATAAAATTGCTCTAACAGTCTGCAAAAAATAATAAGCCGGATCCAATTAGAAGATTAAGGAACAATTCAATCTGCAACATTAACTGAAATAGATAATTAGATAATTTTAGCTTAGTTTATACCGTCCGATATACATTAAATGCTCATCGGTAAACATAAACGCATTTTGCGTTTACGCATGCGCAGAAAGTTTGTAGCTTTGAGGTCCGGATTATAGATCATTCTGGATTATGAATGTCCGGATTAAAGACTTTTGACTGTATTAAATTTGAGTTACTCTTGCTTAACGAAGTTACTAATAACAGTTCTTTTAATTCAGTTTTTAAACTCTAGAGACATTAATATATTTTTTAACCTGGAGAAGTGAACAATGGCTTTGCCAGGACTCGAACCACAGACCTCTCGATTGCGTGTCGAGTGTGCTAACCAGTATACCACAAAGGCATGCTAAGAAGGTGGGAGAAATACTTTATAAAACACTTTGCACAGTTAATAATAATTAATGGTGCATTATGGAAATCTTATTAAAGATCTTTCACTTTATCCTGTAAAAGCCAAATATCAAATTTTAATAAAACGTTCTACTATTTACAGTGTAGATAATGTGGCTGTAATTAAATTTAACTTGTGGCAGACCCTCCTATAGACATGTAAGTGACTTATCATTATGTCTAAGACAAAACAGAACTTCAGAAAATTGTAAAGGACCCTTTTATTTAAAGCTAAGTAAATTGAACAGATAGCATACCATAGCATGGTGCTTACAAATCATCCAGCATTTATGGCATGAACTCAAAAGTAGAATTTTAAATTAAAACTTAATCTAAGTATTTATTATCCAAAGACTACACAGAGATATTTAAATGTGTGGCTCTTAAACCTACACCAGCATGACAGCACTATTATCAAGAATAAAGCAAAGCCATAGACAAGAATGCTTATCTTAGAACAACAACTAGTAACGTGGATTTGAGCAGGTAGAACACACTCTGTCTAAGCAATCTCAGATCTTCACATATGAGTGTGCATGTTAGTTAATTAATATTCATTCTTGCAGAAAAACAGAGAAGTGACAATGCAGATTCAGAATATAAAATAACTGATTAATTAACATAAATAAACATTTCAAGAGAAACAGTAAATGAAAATAATTGTGCATTAACAAGAAAATATATTAAAATAAGAGTAATAAAAATCATTAAAATTTAAAAAATAAAAAATTACGAAATATTAGATATGATAATAAATGTGGGATATCGCCAAGTGATCATTGCCTGGTGTTTTAAAAGTTCAAAATATAGGATTCAGTCTAAAAAACCCACATGCTTGTTATTTGATACAGTCAAAAGTCGTTAATTCGGACACCCATAATCCGGACCTCAAAGCTAAAAACTTTCTGCGCATGCGGCGCGTTGACACATGCGCATAGGCGTTTACGCGTGCGCGTAAGACCTTTACGACTGCGCATATGTCTGTGCGCAAGCGCAGAATACGTTTTCACTTGCACGTTTTATGTATAACGGACAGTATGAGCTAAAATTATCTATTTCAGTTAATGTTGATGATTGCGTTGTTCCTTAATCTTCAGATTATTTCTGGCTTAATATTTTTTGCAGACTGTAAGAGCAATTTTATAAAAGTAAACTTGAACTTTCGATTATGTCAAATATAATTTCCGATACTGGAGCTCCCAAAGGATCTACAAACGAAAGTATGTTCCGATGTCCATCAAACGAAAAGTGGAATTGCTGAAAAAAATGGATAAAGATATGAAGAAGGTGACAGGGAGGTTAGTGAAAACAAAAAAATTTCGATTGACAAGTTAGTTGGTATTCTCGGCACAGCAATTACGGGACTTGAACAGCGGAACTTTGCAACTGAACAAGAAATTATGTCTGTTTATAGAATTAAAGAGAAAGTATTATCTCATAAAATGAAGCAACTTAAACAACTTACATTGAAAAATGTTTAATAAAGTAAACAAATAAATATTAAGCTTTTTTTTTCTAAATTTTGATACCCTTTAGATCATAATTGTTCTCTATTTAATAAATTACGGTTTCATATTTTTAATTTTAGAATTTCTGCATGCCATCTTACGAGATTTAAACTGATGATCTATAATTCGGAAAAATTGATAATCCGGAATCGCTGAAGTCCCGACGAGTCCAGATTAACGACTTTTGACTGTATTATGATCCAAAGTACTTGTATAAAGCTGGATGGTTCTTCCAGATTACAAGAGCTGTTTGTAAACTGTATGCTGTCAATTGTCCGAATTATAGCCGATTTTTATTATTTCGACACCTAGACCATTACCAATGTCATTCAATTCAGGCTGCTTCTTGGGATGATTTGTCATAAAACGTTTATGGTTTCAAAAAATATTAAAAAATCATTCATATTATTAGTGCTTTTTTATCAAAATTTCTAATGCTAATTGGAAACAATGAGCTATGCAGGGCCAAATTACGATGTTAAAAAGTTTTTGTGGAAGGCAAATTGCAGCTCAATGTTTTCTTCCTAACATTACACAAACTCCATGAAAACAAAATACTATTAAATTACTTTTCAACTAGTTTTCACAAAATACATATGAATTTAAAACATTGTGTTGGTGCACTTTATCTGACATGTCTGACAGTAACATCAGAATAAGTTCATATATTTTATCATGGCTAGGAGTACACAATTGCATTTGTTGCTGGCATGGTCCATGAGCATCGTACAGAAGACAAAAGAACTAGCGACAAAAGCATGCTAAGAAGGGGGAAGCCCAGTTGTGTCCCAATTTTGAAGGAGAATCCTCTGGGGGTCCAAAAGGTGTCCTATTCATTATTACCAAACCATATGACAGGGCTTTCATCTTACCATGTATTGTAAGTGCCCACATGTTGCAAAGACACTCTATATTTACAAACATCCAAGCCCTCTCTTGGATTCAAATCTAAGCCCTACAATACCACAGCCAGCAATACTAACATTGTTCTAGTCAGGACAACAAAGCGTTAATTACACATACACATTTGCATTCAACAGTAGTATTTTCTAGCTCCAAACAACAAAAAGGGCTCACAAATTTGACAAAGGTTTCTGCACAAGCTTTCTAATGTGTTTCTTTTCATCTGATCAAGCATGACTTATTCAAGCATGTAATTCTTCATCATTTCATAAGTTATAGTTGTCAGGGTTGTCTGCAGAAATTTAAAATTAATTTAAACATGCTAAATCACTAAAAGTTTTTCAGAATTCACTCAAAATACAGTATTTATAGGTAGTTTATAGTGCGGTCGCGGACACTTAGCCGACAGGACACTTAACCGACACCAGTTAGCCGACAAGACATTTGCGGTCGCGGACACTTAGCCGACAGGACATTTAGCCGACACGACATTTAGCCGACACGGACAGTTAGCCGACAAGGACACTTAGCTGACAGGACATTTTGCCGACACAGACAGTTAGCCGACAGGACATTTAGCTACGGGACACTTAACTGTCAACACATTTAGTTGACAGGACATAAAGCCGACAGTAACTTTTAGCTGACACGCACCCAATAATTATTCAAACTTACTATCAATTACAAAATTTCTCGACTTCTCCATAAGTTCAATATTTAGTTATTTTTTCACTATCAGTAAAATTAATTTTCGATTTTAAAGATCTCATATATACTTTTAATTATTGTGTAATTTAGCATTGTTGATATGTATCCATGGATCTCATAGAATAGACCAACCCAAATGGGTTTTCTCCCTTGCCTTGGAGTATTGCTGGCTGTCACCTTGACAACATCCGGTGGAGTAGGGACGACTTGCAGAAACTTAACAATAGTTGGCTATTGCAGCGCGTATAATTTTCAAGAAAAAGCTGGTGATAGCATTTCATTTCACAAATTAGAATTTTTAGATATTTTTATTTTTGAAACTGAGATTGATTTTTAAAAATTTAGCATATTTATCAGGTATAAATAATGTTTTAAATAATTATAAAGCTGTTGCATGCTTTCAGGCCTGGGT